CTACTATCTATTAATATATTCAGCTTGTCCTATTTTTACACTGGAATTAAAGAGCAACAGTATACAGGTGCAATCGTGTTACTAAAACCATAAAGCTATCAAGCAGAGAAAGATGTGCAGAAGAGAGGAGAACATTTCATTTTGGTCACAATCTGGATAATTATTTTCAAAAGAATGATGTAAAGATTTCCAGAAAGAATCCTCAACTGAATAATTCAACTTGAAAACAGGTTCTTAGAAAAGTTTCCTTACTGAAATGCAACTCACATCTCTAGTGGGTATCTTTATTAAAACAAGTCAAAAAGACCACTAGCATGACTTAGTCATTGATATTTGAATACCATATGAATAGCCCTTCTTGACGATACTATACTGAACTCCTCCAGTTCTTCTAATTTAATAAAATGAAAACCAACTGAATACAATTTCAGTTTCAGTTTCAGAATTCTCTTTTATGGCTTCCCACTTTTTCACATTTTAAAAGAAACATGATAAGGTAATCAGAAAAAGATTACAAATCTTATCTACCAAGAGTTCCTGAATCTAACCACCGCCTTCAAACTAGCTTATATGTTTATTTTAAAACATAACGTAACTTAACGTAATCTAAATAATACAATGCACTAAAAGCTAAACAAATTGAAACCCTTAAACGAAATTGAACAACAGACTGAAAGACATCAAAAGAAAAGGCTTTGCTGTCAAAAATGATTGCAGCCAAGCTTTTGAGAAATCAATTTCCACAGTATACAACTAAATAAAATATGCTATTCATCTCAAAGAATTGCAGTGGGATAAAAAGTAAAGCTACTTTTGAAAAGTGCAAGAGGAAGCCAGGCGGACACTGTATTGGAAAAATGCATGGATCTACTTTGCAAAACTGCTAATTCTCCTTTAGCAAAGAAATCAAACTCTTTTCTAACTACTGCATTGTATTATTCACAGAAATGGCAGCAGATATTAGTCTCATACAGAAGCCTATTCTTTTAATACCCTGCTTAGCAAACCATTAAACTAAAACAGCACAGATTTGAATCTGCTGAAGATCTGCATGCAAGGTATACAGATGTATTTAAGTCAGTGGTTCTCAACCTATGGGTGAGGACCCCTTTGGGGGTCAAACGACCCTTTCACAGGGGTCGCCTAAGACCATTGGAAAACACATATTTTCAAAAAAAAAAAACAGAAAACATAAAATAATTTTATGGTTGGGGGTCACCACAACATGAGGAACTGTATTAAAGGGTCGTAGCAGTAGGAAGGTTGAGACCCACTGATTTAGGTAGTCCTAGATTTATGACTGTTTGCTTAAAGTCCATTCCAAATTACAATTGACATCTCCAGAGCTACTTAAACATGTTTTTAGACTTACGACAACAGCATACCCCCTCCCCAGGATCATGTGATCGCATTTTGGCTCATTTTGCAGACTTTTGTAGCATCCTACATTCGTGACCACAATTTGCTACGTTTGTTCCCAGTTTCCAGTGTTTACTTCTGGTTAATACCCATTTGAAAAAGTGGATTCACTTAATGACTGCTGTGTTTGCTTACCAGGCTCAAGGTTGATTCAACCTTCCAACCTTCTGAGGTCACTAAAATGAGGATCCAGACTGTTGGGGGGGCAATATGCCGGCTCTTAATATGCTCACCATTTAGAGAGGGCAGTAAAGCACTATGAAGACGTATGTAAGTCTAAGTGCTATTGCTATTGCTAATAACCATCTTAAGAACAATTGTAACTTCGAATCCGGTTACATATTGCTTCGATTTACAGTCCTAATTCCATACTCTATTACAGTTGTATGTTGTAGGTCATTTACCCCCCCCGACCCCCACCCCAAATCAATTCCTCTCTATGTTTGTTTGTTTATCTATTCCATTGGTACAGATAATTGTTCGCTACCAAACTTAGACTTGCAAACCATGTTTATAATTCTGGTTCTAATGCATTATAGTTTAATAGTGATGGAAAGCAATGGGTGGGTATGAAAAAGTTTGTGTATTCTTCTTTTTCCCTTTATCCTATACAATTCCCAAAGTATATTTAATTTGATTTATATCTTACTTTTATTTTGTGCAACTCAAACCATCGTGCATAATGCTCCCCCTTATTTTCCTCTCAATAACAACTGGATACGTGAACTAAATTGAAAGAGAGTAATAGACCCCAAATATTCCTTGTGTAAGGGAGAACTAGAACTAGAAGAGCCGAGGTGGCGCAGTGGGTAGAGTGCAGTACTGCAGGCCACTTCAGCTGACTGCTACTTCAGTAGTTCAGCGGTTCAAATCTCACCGGCTCA